GTATATATCGTATCTATATTAAAAATATTATCTTTTACAGTATCGCAATAGTTATGAAATAATTACTCCATTGAATGTCCTTGATTTTTACACATATTTAATTATATAATCTCCTTTATTATAAGCAGCATTTGCTGCGATTCGCTTTGAAGTAAACAAATGACATCGTTTGGATAATTGGATGTTCAAATATTCGTTTGTTCGATAATTCGATGCTCAGCTGCAGTATTAACCCTTTGGGGTTGACGAGCACCGTACTGGGGACATAAGGAGGTGCTGGTTGGTACCATATGGGAACAAGTAGGGGTGGGATTATGCTAATCGAATTACTTCTAATTTGGAACGCGAGTTTCGAATTGAATAATTAAATTTCATGAAGGGAATTATTAAAAAGAACGAGTGTTTTAATTGATCAGAGAATAATTTAGTACAAACTGGCATTAAAGTTGAGAATATTCGCTCCATTATTGCCTAATTTGTACACCCATTACCATCGAATTTGACGAGTTCTAATAAATTTATTTTATAGGCAATTATATTTTGATAGCATTACTTTGCCTAATTAATTTCAAATTATAAGTATGATTAAAAATCATCCGAGGATGTCATATCAGTCATATTTCAAATATCATGTCAAAAATGTGTACGCCTCTACCCCGTACAGTGACGGTCGACGACAAAGAGTTAATTTCAAATGACAATACATTAAAAAATGTTGTATACAATTCTTATATTTGTTCTAATTCCTTGGTTCTCATATTTGTATGTTAAAAATTACTATTTACTTTGAGTAAATTGTATTTAATTTAAACTCTATGAAATTTAGATATTCAATTTATTTGTAATATACAAGCTTAATATTTTCAAGTATACGTTATATAGAATTGAACATGCAAAACTAGAAATTAATATTCGATTTTTATATTTATTATTTACGTACGTCATTACCCATCAGCAGTATTACAAATTCAGTTCGAAATGCTTCTTAGTTCATTTCCGCTGTTTTCCTCACAATGACATTGAAAACCAAATTTCGCGCGACGTTCGGGTCGTATCGCCGTTAAGAGCCGTTGATAAAATGCACCGTGTTGTATCAATCAATTTATTTCACTCACAATCAGTACTCGAGCGTAAATGGCCAGTTCCCCATTCATGCTCCGTGATTCGCATAAAATCAATAAATCATTCAGTTCGAGTAGTCACGGGTGAAACTATTTCCATGCAGCTGGTTAACCGTGCGGGAAACTGATGGAAACACAGAAACGGATATCACGATATATTCTTCCTGCAAGATGTGCAGTATTGATCCGGTTGTTTGTGAAAGAATGTTACACGAAATCTGCAGAGTGCACTGTATCTCGTTTGAATCCAGAGTTGAGCACACAGTTATTTCAAAATTAATTTAAGAACCATACAGCGAATTTAAATAAAAATAAATAAAAAAAGCCAATGAATTGATCGAAAACAAGCCAGATAACACGTTGTATATATTTAATCATTGCTCATTTTTCGAAATAGTTTTTTGTCAAAGACGTTTCAAATCTTTCTTCTTTAAAAAAAACTACCTTCTTTAATTATAGTTAGAAAAATATGAGACAATTGCCAGAATAATTCATGCGAATGTTAATTTTAATTGAAAAGGTGCCCAATTCTGCGAAAGAGGGAAATTATTTCCCGATATTTCAGAGCGCAAAATTTTTGACACAGTTCATTTAAAAGTTGTCCAGAAAGAGTGAAACGTTAATTTCGATGAAATGTCTGGTCGCCATTCAGAATTCCAAGTTTGAAACTAATTCGGCATACCTAACAACAAGGATACCGCAAATACCTTCTTTGTCTTCTTCAGCAACCTATTCCAAGGAGTGGAATACCATTCTTCGTATCTTTGAAAGCTGCATCGTTTCTGATTCATAAATTGTTCAGCGAAATGCTCGCTGAATTTTAGTAGGTGCAAAAGTTATATCTCTCGTGATTCTCAACGGGAAAATCCGACCGAAGTTCCCGATATCAAAGTTATTAAGTTTCATATTTATTATTCGATCGGCATCCTGTCAAGCCTCGTTATTAAAGAGTTATTATGTCGATCGCGTTGCAGAGAACGTTGTTGCTTGCAGCAGCTGCTTTTTAATTTTCCGAGTTTAACAAGGTGAAATTAATGTTTGGTATTTTGTCGCGTAACACGAATGCTTCCATTGCCTTGTTTGTTTTTGAAGGAAATTATTCTAGATGTATCTAATAATATCCGACGCTACAAATAACATAATTTCACAAAATATAAATTTAAAAGAGGAGGAAGTGGAGGTAATTGAATTTCTACACATATTTTATTTAGTCAAATAGGATACATGTGTTTACATATATCTCTAATAAAAGTAACTTATATATGTGTTACGACGTATGATCAAAGAACGAAACTCTCCTTTTCATGCAAACGTATAGTATTTTAAGATTCATTCAATTATGTCGATGGGCAACGCAGAGTCCACTTAGAGCGTTCGATGTAATTATGTTTAACGGCAACGCGTGGAAAGGGCGTCGCATAAATGCAAATTCTGATAACTTGAAATTTGGTTTGAATGAATACAGAGTGTTACACGACCGAGTATGGGCAGTGTCTGAGCCCAAAGGGGCAGCTCTACTTGAAGGTCGACAGCGAGGGTAAGCCTGACCTAACCTTTAATCATCGCTTCCGCAGGAGCCTTATATCATCATGCCATATGTATCACACACACTCACACACTCATATACGTACACTTATCACGTTTACACCGATTGTATTATGCTACATCTTAACCCGATCCGTGTGTCCCTCTCACGTTACTGTACTCTAGAAGCTGCCATTGCTTGCTTGCTTGCTTTTTCGTGTTCAGATTTCCAACCAAGAACCGTTAACAAGCCAGCTCGACATGCAAGCTGGAGATTCTCCCTAGAATTACTTCAGTGTTTTCATCGAACTTTCGAAACCATGCGATTTTAAGTCGAGACAATGCTTCCCGACGAAGACTACCCTCACCGGAACCTCCCTTACATCGTGTACACGTCTTTTCTCCATTACTTTCGATATCGATAGTTGTACAGGATGTTCCCAGCGATTATCCGTAGACAAATTGATCGGAAAATGTGGATGTTTTTATACGAAGCTTCGATTCCGAAAAAATCGGATGTGAAAATTGGAACTTTCTCAATCTTTCCTTTCTGTTATTTTGTTTACATAGACCACGTGGTGCGTTTGTTTTAGGAGCACAGGTGCAATTGTTTTTTCGAGCTATCGGAGGATCGAAAAGTGTTCGATTTTAATGAGGAAGAATGTAGAGATTCTTTTATCGTGTCTTATTTTTGAAGTATTGTAAATACTCGTGACAATTGTAGGAATAATTCAACTCTTCGTTAGTATCTTTGATCACGGTATTTTAAATTTTTTCAGTAATAAATAAAATTGTATGGTGTATAAGAAAAAACACTTTCTTTGATTAGAAATGTAGGATTTATTAGGGGTTGCATAAAGTTTGAAAAAAAATAAGTCTAATAAAATGAAACGAGGAAAATTTGTTCACACAGAAGAAAGCTGAGTCAAATAAATTGAAGTATAAATCATTATTGTATTTTTAATAAATACAAACAGAATTGCGCGTGTACACTCATACAAACCGAATGTACCACGTCGATTTGTAAATTAATGTAATTAATTTTTCCTTCTAGAGTACTTTTATAATCAGTATGTCTTCTGGTTAGATTGTATTTAAACCTTTGAAATTAAAACTTCACTCATGTGTTTGAATATCGATCATCTTGAAAACGAATCTTCGTCCTCCAAAATTTTATGTATTATTCTATGTATCTTCCTTCTATACATTTCCACGACTAATCTCTCTTTCCTCTAGTTGTTCCGCCCATTATGAGTATTCGATATTTAATGTTCCTATTTTCTACCTATATATATAGTTATCTCTACTAGTGGCATTACTGTACTGTTAAATTCCATTCACATTGATGTACCATTTTTTTTATCCATAAATGGAGTAGCTGCATATTTCAGTGTTAATCTGTTCACTAATATTATCGCGAGAGAAAGGGAATAATACATGTAGGAGTGAACTAGACTGTAGAGGAGGCTCGCGATCATTGAACATTGATATATTTAGAAAGTCTGTTGTCCTGCAGAAATGAAATACGTGCACGCAAATCTAATTATATTGCTATTTTTCATTGGTGTTATCGTTAAATCCTGGAGGTATTTGTATATGCCACTTAAGGAGAAATTTAATAATATACTGTCGTTTAAAATTAGTAATTTTTTCGCATTTGCATTCCCATCAAAGAAAGAATTTATATAACCTCTTGAATAATTTAATTATATTACATCGCAAGTGCATCACACATATATATCTGCATATCTTCTCGGTAGCTTTCCTGATTTCACAGAAATTAGCTTCAAGAAAAATCGGAGATCCCTCGACAACTGTCCTCGCCTCCACTACCATTTCTTACCAGCAATAAAAACAGCAATGTAATTATACACAGTTACTTGATTTCCACGAAACTACAGACTTTCTTTCACATATCACTCGCCAATCCTCCTTGTCATTGGCGCGACGGAGTCATCGGCAATGTCCAATAACAGAATCGTACCATAGCGATCCGGGAATGGCAAAACCCGGTGTCGATAATAGCGATTACGAGAGGCTTTATCTTCCAACGACGGAACATCGAAACCTCGATAACCATGTCGACCTGCCGAACATTCGATTGTCGAGGGGAGAGGGGTAGGCACGTTGTGGCAAAGAATCTTTTAGGAAATCGGTTGCTCCATCCCCCGAGCTCCCTGACCCGTGCTAATTCGATTCACCTATGTAACGACACAAGCACAGGTCGGTCTTTCTCTACGAATAACGGCGACGACGATAAGGTTCCTTATCGTTGACGACGGCTAGATGCCGAGCACTGCCCGATATCACCCCCGATAACGATCCTATTCCTATTTGTCTGTGTTCTTTCGATAGGACCGACGTCCACGGGCTGCAATTTCCCTTTCGAGGACCTGACCGACGCCGAGGATTCGCTAGTGAGCGACACGGAAGACAATATCGGTACTCGTATGCCTGCCACACTCGCATAACAACGTGAACCTCGGGGGTAGACACGAGACGGGGCTTCGATTTACCCCATCGCGAACGTTATTGCCCCCTCGCGAATTACCTCGGTCGGGCGACACGCGGAAGAGTGACGTGCTCGATACGTCGCTGCTGAAAAAAACTACCATCGAATGGAGTTACTCGCATTAATGCTTTTCCGCATTGAGACTATACTATATGAAATTGGAGATATTTAAGGGTTCCTTTTATTGTAATGTATAGCAAAAACAAATATTACACCTAAAAGTAATAAATAATTTACAATAACCGAAATGGCCTTTTTCTAAGGACATAATGTAGATTCATAATATCATAGGCAAAAAAACCACTCCTTCGCTGTTTATATACTAATATATTATACGTATATATATATATATATACTAATATTTCTTTTTATAAGAACGCGACTCTTCCACTTACAGAAATGTCTATGGCTTCTCTATTCTATCTATGTATCTCTGTGAAAAAATCGAACGAATAATATATTGCAAGTTATCCCGTTCCTGCAAGTAACCCCATTTGACTGTATCATTCTGGTTTTTTACGACCTTCGTCTCCGGAATTCGGCAGCGACATCCTATCGGCACGCACATCCTCGGGCTTTGTGACCATTGAGGTGTATCGATCGTACGTGTTGTTTTCGATGCAATGATACGCACAAGTCGTTCTACCCCCGTGTCGTTCGGTCATGTCAGCTTCAGACGAACACGTAGTGTCTGTGTAGACACTCCACTAGACCTACGTGCCGGTAGTTTGTTCCTGTAAAATCGTTGTGCAGGCTCGCGTAGTGACACGTACACGTTCTGTCGTCGAGCTAATATCCGAAGAATGAGACAGAGAGCCCCGTATTGTCTATTTTTTTTTGTTTTTGTTTTTTTTTTTTTTAATTTGGTTTGTCTCCCTCCTACGTCGTCGTTTCTTTCTTTTTGTAGCGAATGAATCGAGTATTGCTTCGTCACTGTAGGGATTCGACGACTGAAGGGTTCGTTACGTGTGTTATCTGTGTATTACAGACGAGATTCTTCGGTTTTAGGTGAATATTTTATGTCGGCTGTATCGAAACGTGTGGGCATAACCGGGACTGGGATTAAGGGATTAGCTTAAGATACCACAGGTTCAGGTTACGGATTTTAATAGCCACGTGAAGGGTATATGGCGCGAGTTTGGCCAATAGTAGGGCTAAATAATAATTTTTCATTGTTTATTCATATTATTTTTATTTAAAAGGAATGCTTTATGTTCAAAGAAGAATAAAACAGCTTCAACTGATAAATCAAAGTTTAGCAAATGGAAGGTTGTATAAAAATGAAGTGATGCTAACAACGCGCAAGGATCCATGGGGACTGAGTGTTCCCGTTACACGAGAAGTAAATGAACTATGCAAACGATAATATTACAGACTCAAAATCAACTAAGAGTTACGAGAGTATCAAGTAGGCCAACTCGGTACAATAACCCATTTCTCTGCAATAAGGGGGAATAATTTCTCCTGGGTCCTCGGGACCCAAGGGTACCGAATACAGGTTAAATGGTTACCAATTATTCCTTCCCATACTCTAAGTTGACGCTGGCATCATGCTTGTTCGTCCCAATAATAGGCATAGTGATCGTTCTATAGCCCGATTTTGTTTAATTGAACTGGTTAGGAAACATTATTGAATCTAGACTATTCTGGTTAGACAGTTCTGTTAAACAACCATGTGCAGAATGACGTAAATGATGAGAAAGTCTTTGAATCATTTGCATGTGGTATGGTTACAGCTATTCATTATGCAGTATTCTGCAAACAGTGTTCCAGATTCTACATTCTATGTGACGCTATGCCTAGAAAAGCTATCACTATTTTCATCGCTTTCGCAAGCTCAATTCTCTTCTGGTGTTATTCCCATACGTTTCGATACACCCTGAATCTGGATGCATCATACATACTTGAATAAAATCTATCGAATGTAAGTAAATAAATACTAATTTATCTAATATTTTGCGGATTCATTTATTTACACCATTTAGAAACGTGTAGATGGAAGTGTACGTAAGTCAAAATGCACTTTTTTAAATCAAAATAAGATGTACATTGTTGATACAATTGTAAAGGGAAAGTTTGTCAGTTCATTTGGAACTTTTCTTGTGCGTAAGAAACCCTTCACAAAATTTTACTTTTTTTTAATCAGTTTGCGTTCAGAAATTGCCCGATTGTGGGGCTTATTGGTGTCGTCATTGTTCGTAGCGGTAGACTAGCCTGTCTCTGTGTGTCCGCCTCTCTGTATGTATTTGTGTTTGTCTATCGTTTATTGTCTGTGACGGATCAGTCATCATCAGTATCTTCAGTCAATTTTCAAAACTACTTCGAACACACGAAAAACGCAAATGTGACATGTACAAACACATACAAACAAATTCAGGTGTATTCATGAATCAATTAATTTCTAAACAGTAACTTTCTGTAACGAAGTAAACAGCTAGCTATCATTGAAGAATCTTCGAAATTACGAAAGTATAAACATGTTGTAGGTATCAAAAATGTTCTATTCGATAGAGAATAGTTAGATACAGAATAGGTGAATGCCTTTTAAAATTTATCCTTAAAAGAAATGAAATAAAATATTAGTTACTTCAGAGTAATTCATAACAAATGAATGCGATGATACATTTTTCGAGAATTTTTTTGTCCAGAATTAGGTCGAGCAAATAAATGTATGAAATCATTCCGTACAAACATTATGGGGTTTATGTAGAAAACCAATATCGCTGCAGTATCATATTAATTTAAACGATATCGTGAATAAACTCGTTAACTTTTGTTCACATTTAACACTAAAATATAATAAAAATAACAAAGAATAATATATTGAAATTCCCTCAGTATATTACGGTACACGAAATATACATGAGCGATTTTAATATCATACACCATTAACTACTACATAGCTTCATGAACTAATAATTTTGCAAACTTTCTGCTCTTCCATAATTATACGTTGCTCGCTAAAATTTAACGCAGCGGTAGTTTCCACTATATGACAGTTATTTATGCTACGTGGTGAGTGCTTCGTCAATTTTTTAACAGACATTAGGTGACGAAGGGGTTGTACAACTATATTTTGCACCTGCAAAAGTGAAAGAAGACAAGTTTAATATTATCTACGTGCAAAACGAGTGATCGTGGTGGTACCTCGAAATGAAAAATTAATAAGAAAGCCGAGTGTATCGTGTAGACTGGATTAAAAATATATGACCATATAAATAGTCACAGAAATTCATTAATTGACACTATTTTGCAATCTGTACTATGCATGTATGTTACACCTTGCACAATGTCTTTAGTCTCCTGCTGTTTTGGATATTATATGTATACCTTGAGGATATTTTCTTCACACTCGTCTCACATATTAATTTCAGTTTTCTTCACATTCTTAATGTTTATTCATATATTATAAGCTCGACCTTTCCTTCAATGTTTTTTTCATTTGTTATGCTTTATATTTCCTACTGTATGCGTATGATAATTTTGACCTACTTTTATGCATTTTTACATTACTTTTAATAGGTACCTGGACTGGGTCTTATTTCATTTCCAATGCTGTTTTCTATTTTCCATTCTTATTATAAACGGAGCATATTTTTCTCCTGCGTTTGCATTTGCTTTTTTATTTACGCCGCTCTATACTAAAGGACTGATCAGAATATTTGATATGCATTATAAATGTGCAACCAGTTCTATGTTTCTAATTATATTCTTTACATGCATTGTGCATATTGTATACGTGGTGATTCGTTAGAAACAGAAGATCTGCTTGTGTTTTTCGTCGCGAAGAATGGAACAAAAATATTCAAGACGAGGATTGATTGATTTTTTGAGGTGGGTAGGTTCGAAATATAATTTCAAAAATCAAGTCAACGGTAAATCAAGTCATGCGCGTGGAGTTTGTTTAAAATAAATCCAAGAAACAATGATACATATATGTTTTACTGTTTAATTATTTAACGTTTCACAGTCACGATAATATATGACATTATTATTCTACTTAACATTATCAATGAGATATGACTATATTATAACATCTGTTTCTGGTAGATCACTCTGTATAAATAATATTATAGTTCATAATATATGTATAATACTTTATATACTATCTAATTAATGTAATTAATACATAATACTATGATGACGTTATTATCATTTACCACATAAAAAAAAAACATAGGTAGTCACTACAAGCATTTCTATTCCGAATGATAGATAATAAACTAATAAATATTATTCAAAATAACAATCTTCGTACTGGTTATCTGCATCTTCAATTTCAGTTTTTGTCTCACAAGCATTGGACGTAATTTTATTTACCATAAAAATATTTTGCGCGTTTATGCCATTTTTGCTTTTAGCCTCGTTCACTCATTTCGTTCATCTTATTATGCTTCATGTCCCGTTTCTTGCAACTCTGACTGGCCCCTTCCACGTTTATATACATATATAAATATTCGAATCATTAATGCGCAATAAATCCACGTATCATACGTACATATATTTATATTTATATTCAGTGCTCGTACAGTGTTGCTAGATGCGCCAATGCGTTCTTTTTTCACTGAATGTTCCATCCGTCTCGCATATATACATATCCACACATTCGATCGTTGGCATTGTACACATATATTCAGCTCGATCCAGTCGATCCACTTATCGTCTACGAGAATACTAACTTCATTTTTAATATGGAAAAAAAAGGAGTTTTCAAATTAGAAAGAATTAAAATTCACTGAAACATGATACGGTCTCCGTTGCCGAGTCGTTGATAACGCGAGCAGTTTGGAACTTCTCGTTCGTAACTCGCTGAACTGACGAAGCTTTCGAGCCCCGCGTTGAAAGTTTCGTCGAACGTGACGATCGACTGCGAACTCTCGAAGCAATCACTGACACCTCTGCTTCAACTTTGCTCGACGGGACGATTGTTGTACGCGCACCTGATGATGCTGTTGGTCGTCCAGGTCGCGTGGGATGTCCACACTTCATGGCACCGGAAGTGATCCAGCGCAGACAGTACGGGAAGCCTGGTGACGTCTGGGCAGCGGGTGTTATGCTTCATATACTGCTCACTGGCACGCTACCTTTCGTGGGTTCCCGAGATCGGCTGCGGGAAGCCATTTGCAGAGGACGAGTGCAGGTAGGAGTCTACGAGATTTGGCAGCCTTTCTTTATTAGAACGTTAACCCTTTCACAGTCCAGTTCGTCGTAGGACAAGATCTAACGTACGTTGTTCATGTCAGAATAGGTATGCATTGTGATTGTCGTGTTTAAAGCAATTATTACAGTGCACATCATGTAAACAAATGTACTTCGTTTATTTAATAGACTTTGGAGACAACGTGCTTCTGTATGGGTTATTATTTGATACATTTATCGAGCTTCAAGCTATGCCAGTACGAAAATGTTAGACATATTTTATGTAGATACTTTAATATATGAAAATTGAAAAATTTATTTCTGCTTTTACGCTATTTTTCTTTCTCTTAGCTCAAAGAGAACAAGCATACAATTTTGTATCGATTGCTTGTTAATATCATGTGAGTTTGTAAATTTTAATTATGAACGACCCAAAGCATAATTCATTATTGTTTAATGAACACTGTTAATCTATATCTTCTTCGATATAAAATATTAATCATATACAGGCATTTAAAAATATAAAAGTAGAAGAGTTGATTCATGGTTTTATTATAATTTTATATTACATGCTTGTCAGTATTACGTGAATCCATGAATATTAATTTACATTCAAGCACGTTACCTACAACATCGAAAATTTAATCTTATAACCAATTCGGATGGGATTTATCGTTTGCATTCAAACATTAATATTTGTATTAATGATATATTAATAATAGCCACACTTTATTTTGATAAACGATCTAAAAATGACAGGTAGTAAATCGAGTAGCAGGGTAGGTAAAGTTGTATTGGTATTTTCATAACTCTTACAATGTCTAAACTGTAATATAAGTTTCAGACGCAACGATTTATGATACTATGTGTCGATACAGCAAGCTGCAATAACACAGCTCAGAGCTTAGATCTTTTATCGCCGAAATAATGTAGGTTTCATTCGTTTTGAGGATTAAAAAGCAATTCACGTCTTTCAAACTACTTTTCTTCATTTCATACCACTGTGAAAGGGTTGAGTAAACTTCACTAATTCGTGTCTGTATTAGATCTACTCGAGTATAGTGTTGGCTTGCTAACTGTTGCGGTTTCCGGCTCATTAGTTGCGCATACTCATCTCCACCATCTCGCCATTCCATTCCTACAGTTGCCTAAGAGCAGAGATAGCCTAAATTCTTGTCTATTATAAATATTTTATTTCACTCTTCTTAAATCTTCTTCTTCTCAATTAGATAGGTTTGTCAGCTAGATTTTTTTCATATATATATAGACCGTAAATTCGGGAGAAGAGAATATCACATGTTTGTCAACTGTGACATTATCGTTAATTATCGGCTTTGTTTATTATAATGTATATATTTATTCTACCCAGGACAGAGGCTGAACTTTCACATACAATAAACTTTATCGAATACATTCCACTCTTGAGGCACAGCAATAGCCTTCAAACACAACTTCCATTTTCGTTAATTAAATTGAGTATCATAAATTATATAATATATTATGAGAACTTTAAATTGACGAAAGAAGTCAAAATATAAATTGACAAGTGTGTTAATTTCTTTTACAATATATGAACAAAATTTCGATTCGTCGTTTGGGTAGTAATTGTTACAGTAGCCAATTCTGCTCGAGTGATCCATAACGTAAAGCGCGGTTCGTTTTCTCTTACTACTCCAGCATATCTACTGGATATCCTTTTGTTTGCGGCGAGTAATGAGAAATTTCTTGAAATTTACAGATGGAAACGCCACTGTGGGATTGCATTAGCGAACCAGCAAAGGATCTCATACAGAGGATGCTCACGACAGACGTAAATCACAGGATCACCATACAAGAAGTCCTCAACCATAAATGGCTTAGAGTGAGTCACGTTTCGTTAAATGTCGTCCAGGACTGAATCCAACATTTATTTCCTCCATGGTTTCATAACGCTTTGCTATCAGAACCTGCGAAGAATGGATATCTGTACTTTTTAAATTTAATTTCAACTTCCAACTCATTCGTTGCGAGAGTTCAAAAGTTTCTTGGACCTGGTTAAATAAACCACCGAGTTCCGATTGAAGCATTCGAGTTGAGAGATACCTCTAGCTCTTATACGATGTTTCATTTAAAGAACAATTCGGACGCAATAAAAGTTTTCCAACGAAATCAAAAGGATCAATAAATTTCCAAATTTTAGAAACCACGCTACAATTTCAACATCGAGGTACTAAAATGTAGATTCTCAAAGTGGGACTAATAAAAAACTGAAATTTATTCGAATAATATTTATGTCATTCTGCTATGCCACACGTGCGACAGAAATGAATGAAAGTATAACGAGACGAGATTTAAGGCAAAGATAATTCGCGCTGCATCTAGTACGTTCAGCATCTCCGTACGTTCGAGCCGATCATGCTAGCAACTTCTATTTAGCAGATGCCACAGGCGTATCTGCTTCTTTTTATATCGTATCAGGCTTTCGATAAACGGCCTCATTTTCTGTTATTATATCCGGCGAATGTGCGTGCGCATGTGCGGGGCATATGGTGCAATAAAGTGAGAATATACCTATGTGATACGACGGTTAGCCAGTGACCTAAGGTAGTGAAGCTTGGAATCACCCCATGTATCGATGCAATACACGTGCAACTGGGCTATCGATCGCTATAGCAGGGGCAAAGTTCCATCGGTTAATGAAAATAACTGTAGCCGTGTATATTTTTCCTCTGCGCTAGTTACAGTTTTTTGAACGCGGCTGCACGTTCTCTGTACCCCCTAAGAACTTCATAGAAACTCGCATAATGGCCGTTTCTTTTCCATTCAGAAGAAATTGTCTGGCACTGGCTCTCCATAACAGATCCGTTTTTAATGATCTCTTCCGACGACGGACGTACTCTATGCGCCCGATAAAATATCACGATCTCCATTTTTCTGCGAATTTTGATCAATGAGTACCGTTGGTTCATCGGAGGGAAAAATATAAATCAAAAGTCAAGAGGTATTAACGTTCTTCGAATCGGCGAACGGAAAAATTTCGCAGATATTACTTTCATGAAATATCTGTACGGGATGTGTGTAGGGTATTGTTCGAGTAACGAGATGCTTATATGATTTATTGCGTAACTGATACGTTTTTAATGATCGTTTTTGACGAGTGTATGTATTCTGTGTTTATAATCTCTGATTTGCCCGTGGAAAATTTTGCAATTCTGAACTCTTGGTTTCAGTCACCTTCTGGCTAAAGTACGAATTATATATAATTATAAAAATACCATATTATTAATGAAGTAAATCTGTTAAATAAGATTTACAGATTTCAAATATTGAAATCAGGAATAAATAATCATTAATACTCCATGTTTTCCTTTATTTTATTTTGGAGATCTCTTTAAACTAGAAAATTTATTTTAGCCGCCCAACATATTAGGGTAGTAGCATTTTCATACCTTTACTGATATTGTATTTCCTTGTGCAGTTATAGTATAATTTACGCTCGAATCTAAAGCTGACAGTAGTCGAAACTTGTAACAAACATTGGACTCTGAAAAATTAATTCGGTTCTATTAATCTGCAAGCTTCCAACAGTGAATATTACCGATAAACATAAGAATTTGTTTGATTCAGAAAACGAACACGAAATTATGAAGAATTTCTGTATTATGGCTTAATTTGAATATTGATTTATTGCATAGCAGCTTGAGAAGAATTCCATATCATAGCTCGTAGCGTCGTTGGATTCGGATGCGTGCCTGCTAAACAAGTTCTGTTGCACTTGCAGGATCGTGACAAGGGCGTGGCGCGAATACACTTAAGCGAAACTATAGAGGAGCTCAAGAAATTCAATGCCAGACGAAAATTGAAGGAAGCCGTGAAAGCGTCGGTTTCGTCGCAGAAGTGGCACGTCGGGTATTCGGAAGTAAATGGCGACAGTTTTTTGGACTCCGGAGACGAGGAAATCATGACCACAGGTAAGAATAAAGTTTAAACCACTTGCCTCGTGGTAGATGGGAAAAGTTTAGGAAGCGTGGAGTTAACAGAATGGGCGTCTGATAGCAAACAGTTTATCGCGGTGAAAATGTGAATAAACCGAATTTAAATGTTCTTAAAGTAGCTTAATGCATCGCTCATGATTTTATAAAACTCTGTAGGTATTGTTATGAGACTGAAAATTACTTTGCTTGCGGCATGCAAATTATCTTTTTGTTTAATATTGTTTCAGTCGATGTATTCTACAAGTCAGTTTATATCTAACAATTTTTAAAGTACATTATTGTATATAAGAACCTAAGTTGTACATTAGAGAAAGTGTTTTATAGTGGAAAACGTTCATTATCGAAATTTTGTTTAAAAAGATTATTAGGTTCAGTGTATCTATGGTTATTACATGAATGTAAAATTATTTTCTAGGTGCTGTAGCTGACATTTTGGACTCTTTGGACGACATCGAGGTACTTCAAGAGAGTGGAAGACTGACGCGTAGTGAAATACTGAATGCGGTTGATGATTATCGCCTTCGAGCGACTTTAGAGGTACGAGCATTTTGAGAGTCGTCAGTGACTTCTTCTCAAGCTCTTCATAACGACTTTCTATTAAATATACGTATATTAGGCATGGTAAGCAGTATACGAAATGCATCTTCTAAATGTGCTCCCATCTTCTGCAATTCTCATTTTCGTCGATATATTCGAAGTGTTTTATTTTGTTTAAAAGTAACACGCGTGACAAATTAAATAAGTTCCCTAGATTTATTTAGACGACCTTCTATAGGCTTTTAAAAATGATCAGACGACTAACTATACGTTTCGTCTGAAGCCACAGGGATCTTATTAAACTTGACGAACTACAGATTCTTCTATTCAGTATTTCCGTTTCTAGTGATATTCAATTACACGAATGAAGATTCTCAAGCCTTATGACTTCAACTACATTAAGTAGTTTCGTAAAAATTTAAATCATATCCTCCCTCTCCGGAAGTCATAGCTACCATCACCGAAGACACGTCGATAACATACCGACGCAACATCAAATTCCACGTTAGCTACTAACGTTAGCTACTGACTTTCGAAAATTCCAAATTACCCAAAATTCATAATCCGTAAGTCCTCGCATTATGCACTGAAATATAATCATTAGAAATATGAATTTTTCTTATTAAAATCACTTTGACTTTCCGTTTTCCATCAAGATTGACTGACTGGCGGTCGATGCAATGGCCTCGGTTAAAGAGGGCGCCATCGGTGGTTTCCGCTACCCTCTCGAGGTCGTTTTTCTTTCCGCCGTTCAGATCTCACCCCTTCCGTCTTTCATTATGTTTATATCCCGTGGGAAGAGGTGCGCTCTCATTTTTCCGACGAAAAGGGCGCAAGCGCTCGCCCCTCGCCTACCAAGATGGCTGACGCGATGTTGTCGTAAACAAAATGCCAGGGAAGATCGCGGGGCCGCCGAATCGCGTCTTTGAATGGATAGATGTGTCACGTGCATCCTCTTTGTGTTTGCTAAAGGGCCACGTGGGCTAACCCACGCTGTTAGGCATATGGCAGACAGGTTATGGCGTAATCTGCCTTGAACGGAGATGCGCCTCTGCCAATTGATATTCTTCGGCGAGGCCGAACTGGCCGGTGACCTCCTTGAAATTGCAGGTCTCCTGGTAAGTAAATCGGCCACGTGCAGAACCAAGGACCCCTGCTATTGGGTTTCCTTCCCATTTGTACCAAATACAATAGTACACCCATAAACTAAGCACTCAATAAATAAATGAAATTGAAATGGGTTTCCTTCTGTTGCCAGCAATGTATTGAAGAGATGCAGATCTCTTGCAGAGCTCACATCTCCCATGGATCTAATTATAATAGATAGTCAAACTTGATACTTGTTGAAAAATAATATTACAGGCATTTAGGAATTAGATAACTTTGTCCAGGGCTTTGAAGATTGGGGTAATATGACCCAAACCGGTTCCTATAGGTAGTTGGTTTTTTTTTTAAATGTCTTTGTATATAAGATCGAGGAGCATAAGTTGTGAACCTCTGCTGCACACTGACAGAGCTTGGCTAGACACCATTTTAAATACAAACTACCTGTGCTTGTGTTGTGTTCTTGTGCCACACACGAATCACAGTGACATGATGAGACATCTGAGGGGTTAGCGACGAACTAACGCGTTTTATGAATACGATGCATGGCTGGTCGGTTCGGTAATTGAGTTAGCAGAAAATGGGAGAATATAAATTTCGTTTTATTTCGAATTCTTTCGAACACCTTTCGAGTGTTTCTGTGCCTTATTACATATTAATTTTATGTGTTTTAGAAACTATGCGTCTATTCTACCTTGTATAGATTATCCCATTCTGTGTCTAACGTATCTTTTATTTATTACCTATTGAAACTGTATTTCAGAATATAAATTAATTAATCGAGTGTTTAAAAAAAAGAATGTACAGAGAGTTTAAGAGTGTATAAGCTAAGGGTGTTGATTTTTAAGTACTTTTTTTGGTTACAGAATTGCGATAAAAAGATTAATGATTTTTTTTTCAGCTGTACGATAGGATTTCGACCCGGGTTTCAACGCCATGCCGGGCGCCGCAGACAGACGCAGTTCAACGTGCGCGAGAAGTGGAAGAACTTCTTCGAGAGATCGAGCATTCGGCAATAAGAAACATCGATAGGGCCGATCTTCGGGAGCTCCACGAACTTCTGATTCAGCCGCACATGAGGGTGAGTCTGTGAACAATATCAGTTCGTCGTGTTTGGGTCACAAATAACCTTTGTTTTACATCCTAGATGAAGACATGAACTTTCTTGGCTATAGTAACTCAAGTAGGTGGTGAAACTTTGGGGTAGTTTTACTTCTGAAGTTTGAGTTGCTCCCGCTATAAAAGGAAACGTGTCCTTCATTTCGATTATTTTACAGTCTTCAACGTTTCATCCAAATGAAGGGATTATTAACACATTACAGTTTTTAAAACATCATAGTTAAAATGTGACAGAAGTTATTTATGACTCAACCTAAACATTATTAACAGCTTAAACCGATTTATTATTACGTAACTGTAATTAACATAGTTTTTAGCGAAATAACCAATAGTAGTAAATTTAAAATTCAAAAATCTGGTTTTTAATATATGGGGGAGAAATGGGAAAAGACAATTTTAAATTGTAGCGCTTCTTAAAGACTAATTTATGATTCATTTTTTTCTTGATTATAACAATTCCTGACAATCGCACAGAAGTTCTCAAAATAATTTATCGAATACAACACTTGTACAATTTAATCATTTGTTGTTGAACTTCATCAAATAAAACGACGCACTACTTAAATCATTTATAGATTCAGGAAGCAGATAGGAATGAACATTTATAGAATTTTTATAGAAAAATAAGAGTCAGTACTTAGCCCAACGAAGTGTTATAGCAATCCAATACGAGGTAACGGAAATATAGTAACCTTTTTGGAGAAGTGGTACTTATAAATATCCACTGCTGGTGCTTTTACCTTATTTATTCTACTCTTAAGTTGCCTGGAATTAAACCTGAAATGAAACCTGAAGCGCCAAGGCAGTAAAACGGTCCCCAGTTTATTTCTACGTCAGAGAAGGTGTCACGAATGTATCGAACGAATGTTTACCATTGCAAAATGGTATTCTTCCTCTAAACTCTAATTTTCGAAAGGGATACACTATCCTATAACAGTCTCAAAACGTCGAAAAAACAACCCTAAGTTACTTTTACTCTATTCTACAAATGAAACTTGACACTGCAAAATGTTAAACTTGTTTTCATCTGTTTTCAACGAGTTCCTAATTCCTCAACGTCTGAAACGTATCAAACCATTGCTTCCTGCTAACTCTCGTTTTCAGTAGGGATAACACTCCGATAAGTCTGCGGCGTGCCACGCAATTGCATTGATCTTTCTTTTCGTCGTGGTTGGTGGTAGTATATTTACCGCGGTGTTTGACATTGCCCGCGATACACCGTAAATAGGGTGCAGAAATGTAGGTCGATCGTTAAAATTCTCATTTAAAAATTCCGTAGCTGTAGCGAGAGGAACACGTAAAGAGGGGAACAGACCGTTCGAAAGAGCAGGAGGATCGACTCGGTGGGAGGAGGAAAAAAAAGAGCTGGCAAAGGTAGACGAAAAGAGCTGGAGAGCGATGTTACCGTGAAAAGAACGAGTTCTGATAGCCGAATGGATCTATGATCCCACCGCGAACCGAATTAATTTCTCCTTTCACTCCGTATGCTAGACGTTCATTGTCCTAAGTCTGTTGTTCGCGAAATCACGTTGTCCGATTTTCGTCCACTTGAACGCTGATGAAACGTGTAATCAGTCCAAGGATTTTCGAATTTCATCCCTCCTGATTCGGTGGACATCGATGCGGTGTCCTACTTTAATTACACATGAGGATAACACAAGACGGTGAACGAAAATAGAAAAGACTGAACCACCGAAAATATTGCCACTATTGCATTCTTCATTCGATTCCATGCAGTGGTTTCATTTTAGTAAAGAACCCGTCTGGCACTTTATATAGAGTATAAATTGGTATCCGCTTTTTCTTGCCTTGGCTGCGGTTATTGTTCTTTTATGAGGGTACACGTCAAACTTCCAGAATTTTTTCAAGATTTAAATACGTATTTTAATTCGAATGAAAGAAAATACATTTTGTTGTTAAGATACGTGTTCTTTTTTTATATTTTGAGATGTCGATGAAATTTTTTTTTTCTCAAAGAGAAGGATAATGCTCCTTTCATATAATCCCGAAATTTAATTTTGTGGAACGTGGTAAATTTTCTAATTTGTTTACGTTTCATCTTATGTATTTCCTCATCGATCTGTTATATTCGGGATGAAGTAATAACAACAACTGCTTCACGTGGAAATACATAATATCAAATTGAATTCAGTATATTGATTCGCATTGTTTAAAATTGAATTCTGTAAAATGCAGCTGGAATTTTCAATGTATTTTATAATATGGATACGCGTATATACATATTTGAAATCCTGTTGCGCACTAACCAATTGTTTTTTGGTTTAAAAATTAAATGGGAACGAAGTAGTAACCATTTTGTGAATATATTAATGGGACGTAAAATGTTTTGCGATTGAAAATGTTTAGGACACGGAATTTAATAACAGAAATAATAATTTAGTTCTTCAGAGTTGATGTTTCTTCTTCTTGAATATGAATATGAATAATACATAATGCTGTTCTTATATTTTAATAACGCACAGTATTTTCATTGTTTAATTTTAATTTGTAATTGGCGAAAATTCAATTTTCTCTTACTGATTTAATTTTATTATTCATTATCTTATTTCTCTTATGAAAATTAATTAAAATTGATACAATATGTTGTTTCCGAGGATATCTAGCTTAATTATTTTAATTAAATTTCCATTCAGTTACTAAAAAGGTAAAGTGATATAATGAATTCATTTATCTGCTTTTACTGAATTTAAGAATTTAAAAAGTAGCACATATACCGTTTACACATTACTAAATATTTATAATTTCACAAATGTTTGAGTTTGATGTATAAACTCCTGTGTAAGATGTACGTAGGCGCTCCAAAGACATACACACGCAGCGTCTCAGAGGTACACATCAAATATTAACCTAATCGTGCGTCCTCATTACGTTCAATGCTGATTGAATCCCGGCAACGATCACAGGTCGCGAAACGACCATAAGTAACCTCGCTTAATGTCTTATCGTCAAATGGTACTCGAATATAGGGAGGCATCAGCTTACTGGCTTGCGTTCGCTCTGAAAATGATACTTCAAAGGAACGTGTTTGTCAACTGTTCTCTAACTGTTGCGTTAGAAGTGTTCCAAATGCTCGACTGTGTTTACAATCGATCAATCGCATCGAAGACCTTTCAGAGCAGAATAGCGAAGGAGTTCCGTAAGAACGTAACCCATTCCCCGCTGCTTGTTTATTGGAAAACAGAGTGGTTCGCGAACTCGTCACGAATATTTCATCGGGTATACACGAAACGTTCGTGTCGTGTGTTACTTTCGTGTGGATTCGCTTCAGAAATGCAAACAAGGGCTGCGATTAACCACACTTTGTCGCAAAAGTCTATATAACAGCATAAAATATATAAAAATCGTTTGAAATTGTCACGAAATCCACGCACGTTTGTAAATACACATTGCAATGTTTCATTTTTTTGAATTAGGTGGGTTAGAAAGTTTTTCACCTCTTGGTTTGCTTTTTATATATGGTGGGATATAGTTTAACTGGCCTCAAAGGTGAGATTAGTGATAGTCGTACACTTTCATATTTTATTTAAAGCTATTCATTTAGTTGGCTATGCTATACATCACAGTTAAACAATAAATAAGTAAAAATCTAAAAAAATTGCACATATACCATTTACATATTATCAAATGTTCATAATTTTGCGAACGTTGATTTTTATACCTCACCTTCACAAGTCGAAACACATTATTTCTTGTATTTTACTTTTTAATACAGAAATATGTACCTCACGAAAACCTAAACATAACAATTAAATTAGAATTATTCTTACTTAATTTTCTACATAAATAGAATTTTACTAAATTCAAGCTGTCTTATACGTATTATATGCATGTGTATCTTCTTAAAGTGTATGGATTATTTATAATTTCCTATATAAATGCAATTTCATTAAATTCGAGAAAACGTATTAGCTGTAACAAATGAGTATCTTCCTAAAAGGTGTGAATTATATAGATTTTTCATCCTTCGTACCCGTATGTGGACGTTTGTGACCAATTGTGTCTTGACATTGGTTGTTTTATGTTTCATTACGTGTTAGCCATCAGCGGCCACGTTCCAAGCGTGACAACGATGCGGTTTATTACCGCTCTACAGCTTAATGGTTAAGCAAATACGTCCAACCACGGTAATTGCATAATTAAGACTGCGCAGAATAAGTTCCTGCGCCGTGCGACATAATGCCGCTGTGGTCGCGTTTGGTTTCTAAACGTACTTATGCTGGTTATTCGCTACTCTCGAAATCATAGTTGTTGGAATTGCTAATTGAGTAGGCTGTGGGTATTGTTATATACCTGATTGCTGTCAGATTCATAACTAGGGTAGTATGGAAACAGAATTATTGTTAGAGACCAGAATTATTTTTAGAGATTTCAATGCTACTTTGATTTCCCGTGCCAATGAGAATTAGAAAATCCTGTTTTATTATGCAACCTTGGACTTTGTTAATAAAGTCTAGTACAATATTTTCTAGACAAAACTATAATTATTTTATTTCTATCAATAAATGGGTAAACTTAGTTAACCCATCAATGATCCACAAATTTGTGTTAAATATTTTATTTTTACGTAATTCCACCGTATAGGGAAGGAAGTTCAAAGTGCCATGTGTCACGAATGTATCGTCTCCTTGAAAGAAACTCTGAGTCCTTTGTCCAATTACGTTGCGCAGGTTTGCTCTTGGCAACAAATAACTTCTCCCAATATGCTTCTCTTACTCTACCGGGTGTCTCATTTAACTCTTCAAATACCTCTAATACTAAGTGCTTTGGATGAACCCTAATTTGATGTAATTATTTTCGTAAGTGGATGTATGAAACTCAACTTCTTTATTTTAAATCGAAGTTCTTTATGACGAGATAAAAGTTTCAAGAGATATGCATATATATATATATATATATATATATATATCGTAGAATTAATAGTGTTTAAATTATAAAATACTA